GCCTGGTGGAGACCAAAGAACGGAAGATACCTCAAAGGGGCCGACAGCCCTCCGAGTCAGAGGCGCTATTCCTAACAGGTACCCCAGAACCCGCTCGTTCTCCGCAGAAAGTGATGGGCGATGCTCCAACAATCAACAGATGAAGTGTTGAGGCAACCGGTATATAACTGGCTGTAAAAGCTGACAATATAATCCTTCCAACAAAGTTTTATTTCATGTACCCATTCGAAGAAGAACTTAGGGATTTCATGTTGATTGTCTAAACAAGTCGACAATCAAAGAAACGGGAAACTGACCATGAAAGAAAATCCCAAAACCCTCCAAGAAATACATCGGAGCGAGAGATCCTTGAAAGGGACTCTATATTCCATTTCTGAGGGACACCCTATGAACTTCGAAAAACCGATTATTCTGAAACAAGGTTTCAGCTCATATATAGGTTAATTGCTGAGTCATTGTTCAACAAGAGCGATCTACTTTGCGTCAACCGAATAGGACGGGGCCCAATTATTAATTCACTGGCTTGATGCNCCCCCCCCTCCACACACACACACACACACACACACATGCACACGGATGTACAGCATTAAATCTGGCCACAATACAAAACCGCTCACAGACTAATCTCCTATCTTCTTTGATGTCATCCTTAGCTCTGTGACCTCTTGTGCATTCACAACTTCCACGCTTTTATTTATTACCACATCAACTCAATTCTCCTTCTCCTGGGCCAATCAAAAGCTCCTTCATTTGATAGGGTTTCTCTCACAGTAATTTTGTTTAACGTTCACTTGTTAATTGACTTGAAAAAGGCCTTCCAAGAGGGTCAAAAATGTCGTCAACCGAAAATTATTTTTTTTCGCTGTGGCTAATCCAGACATTTCTATACGGATCTAATTCAATGGAATAACTCTGCTTCCATCGAAGTCTTTTGGAAGGACTACAGACGATGAGTGAATAAGTCGGTATTACTATGTATGAATACGAATTTTGAAAGGGGTGGACAAGGTGAGCGAATATAAGTCAGCAGCAACTTACCACCCATTGACGTATCACCCGCTGCCTTTAACCTCAATTTTTCGTTTTCGTAAGCTCTAAGCAAAATTTGCCCACGGGTTGATACTAGGATCATCAACTGAAGTTCACATACTTTGTACAGGAATCCAGGGACTAGCAACTTTCATTGATTTTCCTACCAATACCTATGTTCGTTAGGTGCTGTGTAAGGACGTGCGGGCTTTACATTCCAAAACCCAGCATGTTAATTGCACCATCAACTTTTGACTTAATAAAGTCTAGTTACCAACGTTTCATTAGTTTCAAATGAGTAATGGAGGATTTCATTCAATTTCGAATGGGAATTCGTCGTGAAAAAGCTTCAAGTTAATCGACATTGACGGCCTGTGGATAAATCTTCTTACAGAGCTAGAATTAAGCGCGCGACCTCCTAGTGTCTCGTTGCCCCGGGTAGAAAAAAACACTCGTGGTGGTCGTAGACGTTTATTGACGTATCGTGGTACTGGAAAGTACCGAATACGTGGCGATGTGACGACCAAACAATACGGAACAATAAATGCAGTAGCAAAACGAAAGCGTGTCACACATGTTGCGTGGGTTCGAACAGGACCCAGCTTATATATATATATATATATATATATATATATATATATATATATATATATATA